TATTACTTAATTTTAACTTCTTCTGGCCAGACTACGGAATGCAATTATAAAAAAAAAAAAAAAAAAAAAAAAAAAAAAGCGATGATAATCAGGGCTGTGAGTTTCTATCCGTGTAGGCTGATGCCCTTCGAACCTTCTTCAACAAAATAAAACTTACCGGGGAACCTTCAGATGAGACGCTGCCATTAAGTGTTATGGCGCCCTTTTACCCATAGCATCTGCCCTACCTGCCACACTTTGTTTATGCCACTGATGGTAGGGAGAACCAAAAGAAGAAGAAAATTCCAAATGTATATGTAATACTTATTTGTCATTTACCCATAATAGTAATGATAATTACAAACTAAAAGAGACTGGACAATTATAGAAAGAAGGGGGGGGGGGAGCTGACAACCCCCCCCCCCCCACCCCAATTATGTGTCGTGTCGCGCCTGAAACTGTTCATTACCTGAAGCCACTACTCTGCGCTGTTACACGTTACCTCTATAGTTCTCGCAACAGTTTGGCCAGTATTTCAAGTTACTTCTGCTGCACCAGCTGCGATACTTACCGGCCACCTAACTTGATTACCAACAACCTAATGTAGATGTATGCATATGTACTTACCACTTACAGTATTGTTTACTCTGCGTTCTAACTGGGGCTTTTTTGTTTCTAGAGAAAAAGATTTCATGGCAAGCCATACACAGTATCTAAAAAAAAAGTGCCGGTACTCACAGTAAAGTGTCTCAGTTGAGTTTAGGTGGGTCAAGAATTGACATCACAGCACTCGGGGCATTCCCATGCTCCGTCCCCCATGTCAGCAGCCAGAGCAGAGTTCCAATACTAATGGTACCGGTCACAGACTGGTTGTATGTCCGTCTTGCCGTTCCCCTGAGTGTAGCAAATTGTCTGTTACACAAAAGTGTCTGTGACAGCAAAGTGTCTGTTACTGCAAAGTGTCTGTTACTGCAAAGTTTCAGTCACACCAAAGCGTCCATCACAGCAAAGTGTCTGTCACAGCAAAGTGTTTGTCACCGCAAATTATCTGTCACTGCAAAGTGTCAGTCACACCAAAGCGTCCGTCACAGCAAAGTGTCTGTCACAGCAAAGTGTCTCTTACAGCACAAGTTTATGTCACTGCATAAGTATCTGTTACAGCAAAGTTTATGTTACAGAAAAGTGTATGTCACAGTAAAATGTCTGTTACAGCAGCAAAGTGTCTATCACAGCAAAGTGCCTGATACAGCAAAATGTCAGTTACAGCAAAGCTGGGGGAGGGGAAAGGGGCCTTTTCAAAAAGACAAAACAAAATGGGGGAGGGGGGGGGGGGGGTTTGCCACGTGAAAAAGGTTGAAGACCACTGTTTGAGACACTTTGTGGTGTTTACTGGCATATTTGATCCCACCCCCCACCTTTCCTTGACAGAAGGTTTATAAGAACAATGAAAATTAGTTTAGGCGTGTATCATTTTAGTCTCTCGACACGCCGCGATAAGATGACATCATCACAGATCCACCGTTATGTGGTGGAAAGAGCCGATCACTACGCTGTTTATTAAGAAGAGAAGACATACAATTATTTGCTGACATCTGGGAGTCTCAGTGTTGTATGGTTTCCCCCTTCAGGGTTCGCAAATCTCTTGCTGAACTCGTGTACTGGTGTGACCTAAGTCCCAGTGTCACCTAGGACATGGCATACTATTACTCACACTAAGATGTGAAGCAAACTCATTTTATCGCTGCGAAATCAAGCGTCGATGTTAGCCACATACAAGCACATATTGACATCTCTCGTCTTCCTCTCTGTATTGCAAACTGCTCTGTTACCCAGTTATAATAAAGTGTTATTTTGTGTTGGGAAAGAGGCGGGGGGGGGGGCGGGGGTGTTAATTGATTCGATTTAAGAACCGACATCACAGCACTCGGGGCATTCGCATAATCGCTCCGTCCCCATCTTCAGCAGCCAGAGAAGAGTTCCGATACTAATGGTGCCTGAAGCATTCTGAATAAACGTAACGGCACCCAGAGCTTCGTGCAAAGAGTGATCTGTGTCTGCAGCTACCCTAAGATTTGAGTTCGCCTGCAGCACCCTGCAGAACCTCTCGTCACCCCCCGCCCTATTTCCTTTTACACCAATCTCCCCAGACTGGTGCTCCATCTGCTCCTCCGAACTGTACACGCTCTTCCACAAGACACTAACTACGTCGGCCTTATCATGCATCAGTATTCCATCAAGTTGGAGCGTAGCGAAGATGGGGTGACCTGTTTGCTATGAAGCTGAAACTAAGACTACCAGACCAGACCTTGCGCCTACCTGCAACAGTCGGCAAACCATAGATGTATCGCATACACACCACTGGGGTGTATCTGGTACAACCCAGAATGACATGCATTGCTGCGTTCTGTATGTGCTTTAGTTTGTCCATCTGACTCTTTGAAACGGTAAGCAGTACCAGGCCATAATCAACCACAGACAGGATCAGGTGCTGATATAGTGTGAAAATCATTCTCTGCTATATGTCAAATGCAATGTTAGGAATGTTAGAAACAACATTATGATACTGAATAAGGCGAGCGTCACCTGAACTTCTACAACAGAAAAACAATGGATGTTAGGTGCGTAGTTTCATATGATTGTGTCGCATCATTTTATGATAGTTTTCTTTGCTAGTTTCGATCCTAAAAATCTGTCGAAGTTTCCCCTAGTTGATCCCTGCAAAAGTGAGGACCCTAATTCATTATATGCGTAGAATAATAATGTCACGTGATCCGACACCGGCATACGATTGGACAATGATGTCAACACTGTATTGTGAGAAGAAAATGGCTGACTGAATGTGAAATAGATGCAAGTTTTTGCAATGTACCCTCATTACATGGATATTATGAGCACTTTATGCGACTTTGGCTAAATTCTTCCAGGCAGTAAGTTATATTTAGCATAATTGTCGTGATTTTAGCTCATGTGCAGTTGTTAGAAAACAGTTACAACCACACCGAAGAAGCCCTGCTACCTGCAATCGGAATTCAGCAGACAAGAAAAAAAATAGCAAAGCAAAACTGGGATAATGCCAGTGTAATTTTCCGTACTTGTCTAGGGCCGACTTTGTTATGACTATAGCATAGCGTATTTCAGCTAAAGATAAAGCTATGATTTGTGTGTTTGTTGCTACAACTTCTCTATAATCAGTTAGATATGGAATAAGGGACGAAAAGAAAAGCAGGGTGTCTTAACTTAATAAATTGGAGAATGGATTAGAATCAGTCTAAATTTATCATACTGAATAACCGAAATTTTCACATCTTATCTTATTTCGTTATCGACTGTAAAGATAATAATTGAGCGATTCAGTGGTGGCCAGTTTAGTAATGCTTAGTAATGATGTTCTTAAAATATATGATCGACCGGCTCAAGTAGGGATCACTTAAAACAGTATAGTGAACTAACTCACGTTTCTTGTTTTCATGCAGTAGATATTAGTATTAGTCATTGCAGATTGGTATTTACTGTTTGCTCGTGGTTTAACCCAGTCCCAAATGTTGTTCTTCATTATGGAAGTCACTGCCAAAATTCCTATTCACAGTGCTTTTGATTTGTGTCTGTCTGTGTTGCATTCTGAATAATTAATGCCGTAAAATTAAGCCCATATGAAACATTTTACAGGAATGCTTGAACATCAAGCACCTGGAGGCTCCATCCTGCCCCTTTTCCCCCACATAAATAAATGTAAGGGATCTAAACCTGTTGTTGTATTTATCTGCCATTAGGCAAATTATTATTACTACTACTCATTTACCCAAGGATTACACTTCTCTGCCTCCCTCCCCCCCCCCCCCCAGTTTGTAAGTGGTTGGGGGGGGGGGGGGGGACATTCTCACATATTTTATTTCTCTCGGTGCTCCTGACAGCTTATATGCAGAGAACAATGTTGATACTGAATACATTAATTGATACATAACAATCTACGGTTCTCCTTGCAACTACGGCCACATATTGGGGGAGTACGCCGGAGTTCAGTCCCCTGGCCGCATTGCAATTACGGAATGGAGAAGGAACGAATCACACAACAAAGGGAGGTCGACATTGCTGGCAGACCGACAGCAGTGCACTGCACCTAACCCTAACCCTACCCCTAACCCTAACCCTAAACCCTAACCCTATGATGACAACAGTGCACTGCACGCTGTCTATCGCTCACGCTGTCTATCGCCAACACACACTAATTACGTCATTTGTTTTGTTCCCTCTTCTCCACTCCGTAATTGCCAGGGGACTTAACTCCGGCGTACTTCCCCAATATGTGGCCGTAGTTGCAAGGAGAGCCCAATCTACATATCTTTGTATCAACATTCTGATTAAATTTAACTCCTTCACAGAAAATGTGGACTCAGTAACATAATTGTTTAAGTGCTTGCTTTTCAAGACAATTGTCCCAGTTCAATCCTTGGCAGTGAGAGGATTCTGTTCTTCCAGACAGTGACTCTGGTTAACTCTTTGAGTCCAAGAGGTTTAGCATCAGAGGCCCAAGCGGTAGTCAAGAGAGATGTAAAATCTGCACATCATGCGTTCAACAGGCTTCTTGCTCAAAGACTCAAAGAGTTAATGCAGGCATAGAAATAAAGGAAGGCACACAAAAATTAAAAAGGGAACTGTAGAGTGAATCAAAAAGATAGGGAGAACATGGGGTGAACTGCATGCAAAGGGCACCAAGATTTTTCGGGAATTTCCCATAAAGTCCAGTATTATTGGGGGGGGGGGGGAGAGGGGGGAGGAGTAAGGGAGGAGTTAGTTGGTGTTTACTTCACACCCTAACACTTTTCCAGAAATTCCTAAAAAAATCTCAGAGCACCCAAGATTGGGTGAAATAAAAGAAACCTGACCTTATTATCTAAAAGACATCAGGTACATGAAAATTATATTTTCACTTTTGTTACCATTTGCCATTTCATGTTTTTTCCACCCCCGTCCAGTTACCTGTTGCCAGAAATTCAGCAAGTAGGTGATTTAGTGGCTGACTTATGGCCAAGCAATTTGAGTTTAGCTGGAGAATTCCAGTGCCAGAGGTGCTGCAGACAGGATGTGTCTTTGACATTTGGGATGAGGTAATGTACAGTTGTAATTTCTTGAACTGTTTTGTTTCTATATAAATTTAGATTATCGGATACAAGCAAATACTCCATATGTTAATTGTTTACTTCATAGTGAATAACAATTTAAAGGGCACTTGTTATGATGGTGGTTATGTGGTCAACATCATGCTGTCTGCCTTTATTTCCCAGGATATTTTATGATACCCAGTTTAGCCTTAGTTCTGCTACTTAGCGTTCACTGGCTGTAAATTATGGAAAGTTCTGGTTTGTTTTGTCCATTTCTGGACTTTAGACTTGTTCCAGAACTTGAATTTGGTATGTAAAATCCATTTTACAGATCCGGCTTATTTGTATGCAGACCGTTAGTTCATCACCTTTCAAGCAGATGCACTCTGACTTTGAAGAAAACATCCCTTATTAGTTATCTATTACAAACATACTGGTTAGGGTGGATCATCTCATTAGAATCCCAAAACATGCACTGAAAATTAGAACAAAATGGATTGAGGAAGTGATGACGTCCAAGACAAGTGAATGTTGATTAGAGAAACCAGAGATCCTTCACGGATTCCGGTCCATGATATTGAAAGGATTGCAAATTAGGATATAAGAGTGCAAATGGAATGTAAGCTCTATGTTTTGCATTTTCGCTGCTTTGCTTGAAATGAAAAACTGTCGCGTTCAACCAGCATTCTCGAAGGGGGAGCTTTAGTTATAATTGGGACTAGGTTATGTGTGCCATATTAGCATTGCACACCACCAAAAGCTATGAAAAGGACCCCTACAGTGTTGTTGCAATCAAAGACAGACCCAAATACTGTCCTGATCGGCGAGCCAATGGGCGACCTGGTCGCAGATGTTGTGTTATGCTGGGGCCGTGATTACTGGCATCTAAGCAATATACACCAATACGAGCACCATATACCTCAAAACATGACACTGAAAGGCAGAACAGAGTTTAGAGAAAAGGAAAAGAAGCCTTGTGTGATAATGATGGAACAGCAAGATGATGGTGATGATGATGATTATTGGTCACACTGCAGCAAGTTGCACTTTTAAAATGTGTAGAAACTGGGTTATGGCCTCCGTTGCTATTGTTGAGAAAGTGTTTTCTGAATCTCTTAGCTGAGTGCAATCCTGTTTCATGCCACAACATTTATGCATGACAGCATCAATAACATTGCAACTCATGCAGGAGAATTTCACTATTGTTGAAAGTGGCAGTGGGGCAGGCTACCATTTAGTGTGTAGCACGTATGAACAGCTCTTATGCTGAGGTCTGAAAGAAGTGACATTGCGTGAATGAGATGCTGAAGGTTGACATAATCTATCTTTGATAAGTGTTCTTTTCCTTTTGTTGTTATTGGCTGTTTTGATAGTTTCACTACAGTTCAACCCATTTCATTGTTAATGTGCTTTGGGAATTTTCATCTTCTTTCTTTTCGTGACAACCTAATGTATTGAGGGATTGAATGTTTTGACAATTGCCATGCTGCAGTTTTGCTGTGTGCTGTCGCATTAATGCTTATCTTCTTCAATATTTATGTTTACTGGCTGTAAATGCTGGGGAAAAATTTTGTTTGTTGATCAACTTTTGGACTGAGTCTTGTTCCAGAACTTGGATTTATATATTGCACATCTGTTTTACACATCTGCTCTATATTTGTAAGCAGACTGTTGGTTCTTCATCTCTCAGCAGATACACTAACCCAAAAGAATACACCTCTAATTAGTCGACTTTTATGACATGCTGGTGTGGGGCCAATTAATTTTGCCCCCACCCCATCCAAATCGGACCTCAGAACCCAAGTGACTTTTTCTTTTATATTTTATGTTTTCAGTGTACGCAAGACTTAATAATCTTAAAAATTAACATGCCATTTGATACACGGTGCTAGAGTTATGTTTTTGTATCTGAGTACATCTGCCTGAGAGATGAGGAACCAGCAATCTGCATACAAGCCAGATCTATATACCTGCAAAACCCAAGCTCTGGAATGAGACCAAGTCTAGAAGTGGACGAGCAACCAGAACTTTCCACTTGAGTTAACAGCTGGTGAACGCAACAAGAAGAAGAGCTGGTACCAATGTTAGGTTGTTTCGACCTGGACAAGACACAATAATTGTTAGACAGATCCAACTTGAGGCAGATTGCATACATATGCAGTATACATGGTTAAGCAAATTTTCTGTTATCGTGTAGTATTATGTTGGTCATGATATTTTATTCTTGCTGAATTACTCTTTGTTTTTTCATTAGGAGTATTCAGTTTATGAATCAAACTGTATGGTAAAAGTAGACGAGTATGGTTTCTTTATATGCTGGAAGAGTGAAGGCAGGGTGAGTAGATTTGTGTTATACTTTTCTAGTCTCTCTTCTTTCCTTGTTTGATTGTGCAGTGCTTTCCTGTTAGTTTTTGACATTCCTACTCATACTCGTTCTTCCTATGTCTTTCGGCAAAATTTCCCAAACTGAAATGTTTCCTTATCAGCGTCGCACATCTGTGTGTACGCATGAGTGTGTGTATGTGTTTTGTGTATTGCTAGGAATGGGGCTCAAAGCTCATGACGATAGCAAATGTGTGGTGTGTGTGTGTGTGTGTGCATATGTGCGTGCGTGTATGTGTATGCGTGTGAAAATAAAAATATTTTTCTATAACTTTAATAGTGCAGTTCTCTGACTTAGCGATTAGTGACAGCATTGCACAGTCCTTGAATACCACTAGGGTTCATTGTCTGTATATAATAGTTAAAAAAAATAATGTCATTAATTTTGGACATTAGCACGAGAATCATACTGTTGAAGAGCTTAGGGCATCATGACATAATATTGCAGATGGGGGTAACCTTTCATTTTGTTGCGAGCAACCAGCTAGGCAGCAGAGATCACAATGTTAAAAAGTGTGAATTGAGTTAAAAATCAACATCACAGCACTGGGAACATTTCTATAGGTGCTCTGTCTCTCTCTCTAGCACCCAGCATAGAGGTACTGGACTGGATTCCATCCATGATATTGAAGTGATTGCACAGGTTAGAAGGTAATTGAGAAATAGATTCTGAGCCCTATGTGACATTCAGTGGTAAAACAAGACAATGAATGAATAAAGATCTAGCTCCAATTGGTGCCAGTAATAGTTTGTTTATATGCCTGCCTTGCCTTTCCTCTGAGTTTTGGCTAGATCCTCGATCACTCTCCACTGCAACCATTCTCTACAGACTATAATGATTTATTTGCATTTCCTCATTGTTCAGTTGCTCTCATAGGGCTTTGACTGTGTCTGTATTGTCATGTTTCCACTGACCACCAGGTGTTACAAAACCAGTCAGACTTTCTGCCTGTTCATTTCCCAACACACCAGTATGCGCCGGATGAAAATATCAAAAGGTCCACTACCTACCCACAACCTCTGCAATGTTTATCACTCTATACAGAGTTCCTGTGTCTACCCTTTTTCAGCATGTATTGTGAGTAGGTTACAATCATGACATGACAAAAGTGTGGCAAAGCAATGGAGACAAATTAGAAAGCCTCATGTAGCGTATTCATTCTTTTTTATATATACCATCTACTGTCCATATGGCCAGAGCTCCTTCCTGGCTCACACCAGCCTCATTAGTCACCTGTGTACTTATAATCGTTGAATCCTATCGTTGATCTCTTATAGACAGACAACACTAGAAGACGCACATCATTTCGCATGTGGTGTTTATCAGTTCAATAAGTAACCTGATCAATACTCACGGCATGAGGCAGATAATTATAGCGAGGAAGTGTTACGCAAGAAAAGCAATCCATTTATTGGAGTTTTAATGAGAAAAATACAAAGAATTTTCTTGTTGAAATAGACAAACAAAATAGAAACAGTTGAAAGCTATAAAAACGGGAAGAATTTCACATATGCTAGGTCATGACATTATGAGATGTGGTGACCTGTTTGTTTTTTGCTTTCATTTTTCTGACCAGTACAGAGCATTAAGTATGCTTGCTTCAAATTTGTGCAGTTTTAGTGGTTTGGGCTAGTCTTTGTTATCACTGAACAGTATCATCCCTCTTCTTCTTCTTGATAGCAGACATGGCTGAAAATTTCACGTATACTACTAGGTCATGACCTTACGAAGTGTGGTGACTTGTTCTCTTGCTCTTTACTTATTCCTGTTACAATTTAGAACAGGATGTGTGGGTGTTTGGAAGATATGAAATTGTCATAGTTTTAACTGTCTCATTAAACATAGAACATTATCACGCCTTGTCCCTTTTGATAGCAAACTCTGCTGAAAGTTTAACAGATACTAGATCAGGGCTGTTCAGTTGATAGCCAGATTTGGCAGGAGGTGGGCTAGCAAGTAACCATTGCCAGTTGTATTAATGATCTTTCTATGCTGGGGCTCTGGCCTGTGGTGATCCCCAATATCAACATTTTGGCCCTGGAGTAAACTGAGTTGAATAACCCTGTACTAGGTTATATCCTGATGAGGTGTAGTAACTAGTTCCCAACTAGTAGGTGATGGGTGATGTACTCAAAATCATGTTGGCCACTTTTGCTTCTCAGGGTATTTTCTGGTACCCAGTTCAATCTAGAATGTTCTGGGAAGCCCAGTGGCTGCCAGGTAGCGGTAATTCCATAGTAAATCTTCTTCTTCTTCTTCTCGCCCACCTGCTGTAAACTCAGGTGCAAAGTTCTGGTGGTTTATGCATTTCTTGACTTTGGTCTTGTTTCAGAACTTGAGCTTTGTCTGCTCATCTGTTTAACAGATCTAGCTTATTTGTATGCAGACCATTGGTCCTCATCTATCAGGCATATGTGCCCTAGCTTTAAAGGAAACTCCCATGATTGGTCACCTTGTACGACTTGCTGGCTGGGTGGGGGGGGGGGGGAGGGGGCAGTAGGTCTACCCCCCCCCCCCCCCTTTGCCTAAAATGTGGTCCTGGAACCCACACGTATATGATGCCTTGGGATTATAGGATCAGAGTAAGAATTTCATACATTTAAGGCACATCTTGAAGACTAAAATTCATGGCACAGTTCCAAATTATTCACTGTTAAAAAAAATCCCATTCAGGGCCTCAGGAAGTCTTATATTAAAAAATATGGAATAGGAACACTGCGGACTATGCTTCGTATTATTATATAATTTCATTTGAACCAAATTCTCGAGTATTAGGCAGCACAGTTGTAAGTATTCAGCCTGCTACGCGGGTGACCAGTGTTTGATTCCCTGCCAGGTGATAATTTTTTTAACCATTAAAAGGGCGGTTGGCGCGCTGTGTTGTGGTTTACAGCTAGGTTGCGATATCTGCTCCTTTCGCTCAATCTTGTGGTTTACAGCTAGGCTGCAATAGCGGTTGCAAGATGCTTAGTGGTCATGTAGCGGGTAGGTAAGCTTCTTTCTTTTCGTTCGCTCTTGAAAGGGCGGTTAGCACTTTGTGGTTTACATCTACGCTGCGATATCTGCACCTTTTGCCTCAACACATCTGATTTTAGCAAAGTCCTAATTAGTCGCCTTTTACAACATGCTATTTAGGTGGCAGTGGATCTATTCTTTTTTCCTCAAACATATGGCCCTGAAACCCACAAGGGTAGTCACAGGTAATGTAAACAATGGATCAAAAACCATTCCTCCCCACGTCGCTTTAATGGATTGAAAACTACTACTCCCCACAGTGCTTAGCTTAATGTCTAGACATTGTTTTCCATTGAGCAATAACAGCAGAAGTGGAAACTGACGATGATGGTCTAAATGTTTTTACTACAGAACCTCTTGAGGCTCGCAGAGGGATGTTTTTCACAGTGAATAATTTTGGACCGGTATTAGGACATTACCCACAGAGTGCTGATGGTCTGTAAAAATATGGGACGCTCTGCCCATGTGCCCGATGCACCGAAAGGCGTGAAAAGGGAACTTTACTTTTTTTTCTTTTATTAGGAAGAGTGCCAGATCCATATATAAAAGTGTAAGGAATGCCCCTGTCATCTTTAGAGAGATTTCTCCCAAAGATATTATCAATAAGGATCATCAGTTACATTATACAGGTGCACAAAGAGCATAATAAATCTACTGTTTTAATGGCACAATGTTATTAAGATTATCTAAATATTCTTAATACACTTTCCTTCTTAATCACAACCCAAAAAAAGATATGAAGAAAGCAGCATTGGAAACAGAAATGCAAATTACCTAAGTGTCTTAAATAAATTATTAAATTATATGTAAAACAACAAATTTATACACTGAAAACTTTATGAACATTTTATGTCTCAATTATAACCAAAATGGTTACAGAATACTTGTGTGATGATTGTTGCTACAACATCTAAATGAGGTAATATCATGTCAGAGAGAATTTGTCAGAGCAGTTGCCCCCTAGTTAGATAAGACCTGTCGACCTCTGTTATATTCACAAGTCTGTCGGGGATAGACCCTATACTTTTCAATAGTCATACTGAACAATTTTTATAATTTAAAATTATTTACTGAAATGCATTCTTAACTTGAAGGTTTTTTTGTGTGTGTGTGCAAATAATATTTCAGAATTCGTAAATATGTTCCTCGACTTGCAAATCGGAAAAGATTGTTTTTGAGGATTTGAAGGGGGGATGTTGCACTTATTGTGTGTGCTAAGTGTTTTGCATTCCTTGAACATGTTTACCAGAACATTAACATTTCCCTAAAACTAGCATGATGAATGGACTGCATAACGAAAGCTGACAGTGAGGAGATGAGCTCACTTATTATCTTTAACTCCTTCAGTGCTCACCATTTCTTCTTTAAATAATATTTACAGTGTGACGAGAAACGACAAGATTAACCCACTGTAGAAGAAGAAACAGTCCAGCGTCTTTGGCTAAGGCATTGCACACATGCTTTATAATGCCAGGGTGCCTGGTTTGATCCCAGCTGCAGGCGATTTAGGAGCAGACCGCCTTGTGTTGGGTTTGACCTGGGTATCTAGAGCTGACCGTCTATACAGCAGTGGCCAACTACTGGACGTAAATTTGCCTAGAAAAACCACAACAGCCACACAAAAAACACTAATAAGATTAATCCACTTAACAAAGAACATAATTTAACTGTCCACAAAAAGAAAAGGTTTAACGCATTGTGTCAGAAGAAGCAATCATAAAATGTATTCACTCTCATAAAATGTATCCACTCTCATAAAATGTATCCACTCAGTGAGAAGAATTATCCAAAGTTTGAGCCCACACTATAGAAATAAACATACAGTAAACGTATAACTAACACATACATAAACAGAGGGGGAACCCTTGAGGCTGTAGAAATATTATATTCCTTATATCTTTCTTTTTTCTTCTATGAGTGCCAATCAATACATTAGC